TTTTTTTAAAAATCCCAATTAAATAGAAAATCATTCCTAAGAAGTAATTTAAGAACTTAACAATATGATGATGGTCAAAGCAGTGAGAAGAATTATTTTAACTTACTTTGAAATGCAATATTTTGGTTGCATATTTCTAGTGGCATATATCTGAAGGATAGAAAAATGCTACAAGAAATCTTAGATTTCATATAATACTGACAGTAACCAATCCTTTATTGTGGGCTTATATATGGTAGGAGAAAACAAGTACACTTGCCAATGGCACATTTTTTAATGTCATTAGCAAGCAAGATTTTCAAGAAGATAAAATAAGAAAAAATGTTTAATTTAAATGGAAAATAAAAATATGAACTCTGGATTTAAGTTTCTCCTTCTAAAAAATACTTTTTTAGCTTTGCTCATTGAAGAATCCCAGAAGTGATGACAAGTAAAATTAAGCACTTGTTATCTCTCAGATTTTGGTCTTCAGATATCATTTCCTGTTAAAAGGAATCAAAGCTCCTGGAGCAATGACTGATTCCAGGTCTATAAGTACAGAGGATGAACCTAGGATTTTGTATCTGAAAAAAGGAAGCTATTAGAGTAGACTCAGGTCATGCCATACTAGAACCAACTTGAAGGATCTTCTGGCCGAAGATGGAACAAGTTGAGTACAAAAAAGGGAGGGGCGAAGATATCTTTATATTGAAAAACATACAATTCTGCAAGCTTATAATGATACTAAAAAAAAAAAAAAGCTCATTGGTCACTGTAGAGGTGGTTTGCACGGTCACCTTGAAAAGTGATAAAGGGTAAGAGTTCTTTGTACATCTTTGCTGCTTATATGGACTGGGTAACTGAATAGTTTATAGGTAAAGTTCTTTTCAGAAGAATTGTATCTAATAAATACAGAAGGACTTATAGGGTTTTAAAAAAATAACAGTTCTCTACCCTAATGAAATAATAGAAATAATAGGCAAGTGATGTAGGTAATCAATAAGGTTAATGGGATCTTTATAAGGGATGGATTAGGCTGACAGTATCTGAACTGATTTATCACAGCTTTATTAAAAGTTTTAGATCATCTAATTCAAATGTGCTGATAATGATGTAATGCAGGAAGCACATAGCACTGTTATATAAAGTACTCTTGTCCAAGAAAAAGGAATCTGAATATAATCAACCCTGTACAGCTAACCACCACAGTGTATAGTATCAGGAGGATATAGTCAGCCAGAACAGATTGGGAAATTCACTAAGACAGATTTCATGATTCCTTCAACAAATAACATGGGCAAAATGAAAAGGAAATGGAACTGTTAAAAAATTAAAAGAAATTATAACAACCCAAACCTGTGTGGGAACCTTGTTTGAATTCCGATTCAGATAAACCATCTCTAAAAAATATTTTTGAGTAGGTGGGAAAGATTGAGCTGTATTGTATTACATAATAAGGATTTTTTGTTGTTGTTGTTGAATGTGGTAACATTGTGGTTATTTTAAGAAAATGGGTTACAGATGCACACTAAATCTTTACAGGTAGAAAGAGATGATATGTGTTGTTTGCTTTAAAATACTTTGGGTGGAGGAGAGAGAAAGGGGAAATGGAATAGATAAAATAAGAATAGAAGAATGTAGTGGTTGAAGCTGAGTTTTCTGTGAGTTCTTGAAGATGGTACCTGGGGGTTAATTTTATTTCCTCTACTTTGTGTATGTTTGAGAATTTTTATAGTAAGGTACAAAAACTCATAAAAAAAGACAGGTGTCCATTATGCAGAATAATGATATGACATAGAAGTATCTGTTGATAACTTCTTTAAGTTCTAGTGTAATTTCTGGAGTTCTAAGGGTGCAGGCCCTGGCTCTGGGGATCTCAGTAGACCAAACGTGGCTACCTGTCCCAATATGCCAATCAAAGAGATGAACAATGGTAAAGGGCACTAACAGAGCTTTAATCAGTGTGACCACACAGGGAAGATTAGATTAGGAATTCATTGATCAACAATCTTTCAACAATTCTTTCAGGGGCTGACAGAAAATGTGAGGTTTTTATAATAAAAGAAAAAGTTGGGGACTTAGGTGGGTGGGGTGTTTGCATAGCTGGCAGGCCATCTTGGTAAGGCAGTGGTCTGGTTGATCATTATTTCAGAACTAGTTCTGTGAAACTCTGGGAAGGCTATCATCACCTGAGGGGGGACAGTTTAATTCCTAGGTGAGATGATTCCTTCTGTGTAGGTGGGAAGCCTTCCTTCAGTCATGGGGTGCTTCTGTCATGGGGATGAAATGCCTCATAGGAATAGGGTGTTTCTGTCATGGGATAATTGTTCCTGCTTAGTGGGGCAGTCTTATCATGGGATGATCTGTTCTGGGAGGCTTGCCATTGCTTGGGGACAATTTTATTTCCCTATCATAAAGATGCTTATCAATCAGACCTCTGGTCCTGGAATCTAAGATATCTGCAGAAGAAAGTGGCTCTGGGGGCTGGAGTTGTAGCTCAGTGGTGGAGTGCTTGCCTAGCACATGTGAGGCACTGGGTTTGATCCTCAGGACCATATATAAAAACAAATAAAATACATTTTTATTTGTTTTTATATATGTGTCCATTTACAACTAATTTTTTTAAAATAAAAAATGTGGCTCAGAAGGAAAACAAAAGAGGTAAATGGAATTAGAAAGGGATAAAATGAAGTTGGTTAGGTCTGTGACTTGGCTGTCTTTCAATAATCATGTTATAGAAATTTATAAAGAATTAGATAATTCATTTTTGCCAGGGGTTTACATCATTCATTATCTACTTAGCTTTTAAGTTACTTATATGTAATTTACACTTCACTGATGGTAAGGGTATGGGGGAAAAACAAAAAAATAAATTCAGTTTTTCCTACCATCCACAATAGATACTTCTGTGGCCTCGGGTGAAAAAAATGTGAGAATTTCTCCCTACCAGCAAGCAAGCAACTCTGCAGATAATTCTCCAGGAGACAGTAGCCGGGTGTCCTCTAATTCAGTTGAGTTCTGACACTATCTGGAGATGGGCTCAGTCCTTCTCCCCACTATAGATTCTTAGTATGAGAACAATTTGTATTTCTGACCAACCTGGTATAAATGAGGTTTCTTTAGACTCCCTTTTTGGTTTGGTTAATTTTCTAGAGCAGGTCACAGAACCCAAGAGAAACATTGACTTATGTTTACTTATATACTCTAAAGGATATTACAAAGGATCAGATGAACGACCAGATGGAAGAGATACATATGGGGAGATATGGAGAAGCGGTGTTGGAAAGCTTCTGTGTCCTTTCTGACATAGCACTTTCTAGTGGAACTTCTGCTACTACTAACATATTCTGCTGAGGAATTTCTCAGAACTTAGTCTTTTATGAATGCTTTCCTACATAGGCATGATTGATTAAATCATTGGCCATTGGTTTGTTAATTCAAATTCAAAATTTGGCCTCTCTTTTTGGAATTTGGAGGGTGAGACTGAAAGTTTTAACTCTTTAATTACATGAGCTCTTTAGGGACCCCTATCCACCAGTCATTCCTTAGCATGCAAGAGATACACTTATCATTGCAGAGTCTAGGGATTTTAGGAGCAGTATTGGAAGGAAATAGGATGAAGACCAAATACATATTTCACAACATTGTGGTACCCCACTTAGACTTTATATGAATTAATAAGAACTTTGGAGACTTGTGATATTTATCCAAAAAACCTCTTATGTTGTATTTGGTTGTTTTCATATGGAGTGTCTATTTATCTATTTTAGAAATGGCTACTTGAAGGAGAAACTGTACTTAACAGTTAAGTATCTTGGCAAACAGTGCCTTTCCCTTCATCTTTGGGGTATAAGGATACCTGAACCTCAGATCTTAGTCAGTAGGATAATTTCTGTTATGACTGTTTATAGTATATATAACTATATATATAGTAACTACTCATATAGTCTTTTATAGTAGCCATGTTGGATGTATAGTCTGTTTAAAAATTGTTATAGATTTTGATTTTTGGATTTAACAGTTGATATAGCTGATATTGTTTTAATAGGCTTATTTGCAGGTGAATGTTCAAGGCAAATAAATCTAATGAAGATGCTTTAATGTTAAGTATGCAAACAGTATAGACATTAGCAGATTTATCATTAAGAATAAAATATGACAGAGCTAACCAGTATATATTTTGTATCCTGGTTGCATATAGAGATGGCAACTGAATCTCCAAGTATTTGTGTTAAATTTTTTCAAGTCTTGTGATTCTGAAAATGTATAAAGCTATTTGTGCATGGTGTCAGAGATAATAAAAACTAGAATAGTTACCCAAATTGTAATTAAATTCAAGTGGCTCTTGAATTAAAACCAATAAATTGTTCTGCATTATGTTAGTAAAGAAGAAAATAAGTCTTATGTATATATTTTAGATTAAAAGCACTGATAAAACAATGCAGAATAATTCTGGTGACCTTAAAATTTTATCCTGCTATTGACTACTTAAATATTCTTGTGTATGTGCTGGGAATTGCACCCAGGGGCACCTTGCCACTAAGCCACATTCCCAGCCCTTTTAATTTTTTGAGACAGTGTCTTACTAAGTTGTCCAGGCTGACCATGAACTTGTGATCCTCTGCCTCATCTCCTAGAGTCTCTGAGATTATAGGTGTGCATCACTATACCTGGCCTACTGTTAATAGGCCAACCATTTTTCTCATTTATGTAATATTGGAGGTTTTTAATAATAGTCATACATGCATTATAGTTGAAAAGATAGATTCCCAATTTTTCCTTTCTTTGGCCACAATTTAAAAATATGATAATTATTTGTATTATTTTATTATAGGTTTGCTTCCAGTTGCTGAGCACTTTAATTATCTTAAGTAGGAATTAGAAAAACAAATTATTAATTATGTCAGTTTTTTTGCTGAATTATCCCTAAAGGGGGTTTTATATTACCTATATTTAGTCATATTTTTCCCAACTTAAAATTTGTATAATTAGTAAAGTGATTTCTTTTCTTTATCCTATAGTTGACGAAGGATCAGAGATTGGTTTATTCTGGCAGACTGCTTCCTGATCATCTGCAGCTGAAAGACATTCTCAGAAAAGTAAGCTTTTCTTCCACTTTTTGAAACCAAATATATTCATTTTGTGAGAGATGTTTCTGCAGTTTTATCCAACTAGTTTGGATTTTATTTAAATCAACCCCTATGGTTTAGCCTAACAGGTAAAATAAATTAGAAAGTAAACAGTGTGATAGGTTCAGATTAGTTTGAGTAACAGTGTTATATTTTCATCTGATAGCTAAATTTGAGGAAGGATTATATATTTGTGTTATTTGTCATCTTTTGGAAGAAAACACTAATGACTTATATAAGTGGTATAGGAATAGAGTGCTCAGTAGGTAGTGAAAGACTAGTACCAATTTTTCCTCTAATACCCTTTAAACCTCACTGCATGACAGTTTAGTACAGATTGTCTGGGTTGGAAGTTTCATTTCAGGATAGGAAGTAGAATGAAGTTCTACTTTTGTTCCCATCATCAAGCTCTGAAAGCTAATCCTCATCACTAAAATATATTTATTTCAGTGTATCTTTTTGACAATGAGCTTGAATACTAGTTATTTTAATGGCAGCTTTTAGCTCATACTTATTTGTAGGATTTATACTTTGAAATTTTACTTTTTGTGATTACAGCAGAGTTGAATAGCTTTATATATTTTTTTGATCTTTGAATAATTCTTAATATTGTTGTGGATAGACCTGATCTGATTTAGAAGATCTGCATTTTATTCTGATGTTTATTGTGATGTTTATGTATTCGGTTGTTTTTTCTGCTTAGTTGACATTTTAGCTTTGCCAGTGTGATTTGGTACAGTCATTTTCATTATGTAGTTTCAAATAGCTAAAGTGGTTTAATATTTGCCCCCTCAAAAATAGTGGAATTTTGTGGCAGATTCTCATTTCTCTTTTTACAGTAGACTTTATTTTTTGGGGGGGGGGCAGTTTTAGGTTTATAGCAAAATTGAATGGAAGGTACAGAGATTTCCTTTCACATGCTGAACCCATCTCAGTGCCAACATCCTGCACAAGAGTAGTACACTTGTTATCATCAATGCACCTATATTGACACATTATCACTTAAAGTCCATAGTTTACATTCGAATTCACTCTTGTTGGTGTACATTCATTCAGTGGGTTTTGGCAAATGAATAATGACATGACTCCATTATAGCATCATGCTGAATAGTCCAAAAAACTTCTGTGTCTGCATGGTTGTTTTTTTTTTTTTTTTCCCTGTTTATAGGCATTTCTGCTGTCTGCTTTGAAATGCAGATATCTTAAGGATAGCTTGGATCTACACATGAATACTCTTTTAAAGGCTTTTGCTGGGCTGGGGTTGTGGCTCAGTGGTAGAGTACTCACCTAGCACATGCGAAGCCCTGGGTTTGATCCTCAGCACCACATAAAAATAAATAAATAAAATAAAGATATTGTGTTACCTACAACTAAAGAAATACTTAAAAAAGTTTTTTTTTTTAAAAAGGCTTTTGCTGCCAGAAATAGTTTTAGAGAAGAAGATTTAAAAATTAAACTGCTTTAGTGAAAGAACTGTTAGATCAAGCATTTTGAGCAGTATTGTTTACATTTTGAGTAGACCATTGAACTGGTTTTGTTAAAGGCATTGTTAAATTTTGCCATTAGCTTTACTTGTTTAGTTATAAAATATTTTATAGAAACGTTCCCCCAAAGTGAATGAACACTGAGTTATGATTAGTATGAAAAATTTGAACCTAGGTTTCTAAGGGTAAACATTCTATACTTGAATACTTTTTTTTTTTTTTTTTGGTACCGAGGATTGAACTCGGGGGCATTGAACCACTGACTATGTTCCCAGCCCTGTTTTGAATTTTATTTAGAAACAGGGTCTCATTGAGTTGCTTAGCTCGCTTTTGCTGAGGCTGGCTTTGAACTCAAAATCCTTCTGCCTTAGCCTTCTGAGCTGTTGGGATTAATAGGCATGCACCACAGCGCTCAACCTATACTTAAATACTTTTTGATATTCATACTCAGAAGCTGAGAGAACATTGTAAATTAGTAGCACCTTCAAGCATATTTTATGTTACACACTGTCTGTGATGTCTTTTCTTAGCATTTTAATCCCATTAACTTCTTCCCCTGAATTCCTAAATCAGTTAGAGTTTGTGCTTCTCAGGTTTTATGCAAGAGACTCTTTTATGTTTCTCTAACTATGCTCTAATGGACTTGTCTGATCTCTTAACAAATGTCTTGAGGCTTTTTAAGAGGCTGAGCTTATCTTTCTTGGGTTCATCTCATCATTAAGCATGATTTTAGGTTCATGGTAGGCAGTTGATAATCAGTTCTTAGTTTCTAGTAATTTTGCTTCCCTTTCTCACCACTAAAAATCTCTTGTTCTCTTTCTGCCTCTTTTTATCATTCTGTTGTTTTTCATCTTCTTCTTTTTAAATTGCTAATGCATCATTCTTCTTTGACCTTTATTTTTTCCTCATCTTGTACTAGCTTTGTCTGAGTGTAAAATATGCATGAACTAAGCTAAAATGCCATGCTTAATCATTGTTTAGCATATTTTCCTTCAGTTGTAGGTTTGTGGAAACACATGGAATGTTTATAGAACAGAGTTTAAACATACGTATAATTGTTCCAGATAAAAAATGTTTGACTTAAAAATTGGGCATATTTCAATAGCAGCTAAAATTAGGACAAATGAAACTACAATGAAGTTATTTGAGTTTCTTTTATGGGTGCTAACTCTAAGTAATTGAAATGATTTCACTATTGAAAGTTGGTAGGCTTAAGCTTCATGGTGACTCTTAACAGTTCTGATATTAAGGTTCTATTTCTTTTATATATTGAAATAATAGATTCTGCTCTCCCAACTTTACAGCATTGTTTGCTTCAAGACTGCTTAGAATGCAAAGTAATAATTTTTTAATATAGCACATACTTAGATTATTTTTCAAACACGGAGGGAAAATATTGAATTCAATATTTGAATTACATAATTAATTCAAATATTAAAATGGCAAAGTTACCTTCAAATGACAACAGTTTATTACTAATAACTGGCTAGACTAGAAAGGAATGTAAGTTTTAAGTATTTTAGGTTAGGTACTAACTTTTTTGAATTATATTTTCTAGGACTCCCTTTTAAATATGTAATCTTCTTTAATTTTAGCAAGATGAGTATCATATGGTTCATCTAGTTTGTACTTCTCGGACTCCTCCCAGTTCTCCAAAATCCAGTACCAATAGAGAAAGTCGGGAAGCGTTGGCATCCAACAGCAATTCTGTGAGTTGTTTTAGGAGAAGTAAACATTGAAGTTTTCTGATTCTTTTTCTTTACCTCTCAAAATCTAAATGGAAAACAGAAGAGATGTAACCTGTGGGTTTTGAGATTGTTTTTTGAATAATTGGAATATGGCATTTAAAATTTGTTTTTAGAATCCTATTTACTGTGGGTTATAATTTACTGAATGGCAGGCATTAATAGAGCCTATCTTCATAGATTTAATTAATGACTGAAATACTCAGAAAACAGAATTATGAAATGGTTATATTATATAGATTTTCAGGCCAGTGAAATTTCAACAAAATAACGTATCTAACGTATTTATTCAAGGTAGGTTAAATTGTTTAAATTTGCAAATACCTTAAATCTTCTTGAAATAGTAATTGATCAAGGATTGTGTATGTATTTTTATTTTAAATCACTGGATTTGGGCATACATTCAGACTACAGAAGAAGAAGTATTTAATGTACTTAACTATTTTACCTATTTCAGACTTGGTTTATTTATCTCTCTGTTTTTCCATCTGCCTAAAATTGTTTTGAAAATTTTTGTAATATTTGAACTTTTCAATTTAACAGTCTCTACAAATTTTAAAGACATTGATACTGATATCTTTTTGTTAAATTATTTTTGATTTTTCCATTGATTTAAATAATAGATTTGGAGTGAGAGGATTGGGATTAGTGGAAGCTTGCTTTAAACTTCAGGCAGGTAGCTATGATTTGGATAAGTATACTTTACTTTTTATCAAGAATCTAGCCAAAACTTTTAAGGAAGGAATGAGTGGCAGGAGTGATAACTAGTTGAAATATCTTCCAATACATGCTAGTGAACTGCTTCTTTATGAAACTAGGTTCTCTATTTGCTCTACTTAATAATATAGCATGGTAAATTCTAGTAACAGCTATCGGAATTTAGCTTACATCAAATGGAAATATGCTTTATCTGAACACCCAAGACTCTTTATATGCTTCCTACCTTGATTATGACCAAGGGTCAAATATTGGCATTGGCATGAAGTTTTGTATGTAGTCTTAGATACAGTTGTATTTCTTCAGATTTTTGTTAGACAAGTCAATTAAATCAGAAGGTTCTTTCCTGTCTAGTGGTTCCTAAGCTATGACTTCATGTCATTAGTATGTATATATTTTTTTCAGAGTGTTAAGAAAAATTTAAAGAATATCAAAGGAATGTTAAATTGAGTCACCCTAAATATTTTGTGGCTCAAAACCTTCAGAGGGATTTAAAGAAAAAAAAAAGTGTTAAAAATCTAATCACGAAAGAATTACCTAAAAGGTCAGAAGTCATTAGGTCTAGTGAAATTAGGCTATGCTGATGAATGGCTAAGTTTTTCTTCTATTAACTATATTAATGAATATTATATCAAGATGTTCCTTTAGTGAGAAATCTTGCCAAGAAAAGCCTTTCCAAGTTTATGTCCCAAATAATTGGAGTCTTTATTTGGTATCTAGTTTGTGTGAAGTAGCATATATTTTTTTAACTTTAAAAAAAATTAGTGCATTATAGTTATATATAATAGTGGAATTTATTTTAACATTCATAAATGCCTATATTGTAGTTTTCTCCATTTTTATCCCCAGTACTCCCTTCTTCTCTTCCTATCCCTATTGCTTTAAATTTTAGTGCATTATAGTTATACATAACAGTGGAACTCATTTTAACATTCATAAATGCATATAATGTAGTTTTCTCCATTTTCAACCCCAGTACTCCCTTCTTCCTCTCCTCCCTCCTCCTATTACCTTCCTCTACTCTGTTGATCTTCCATTTAATTTACTCAGTGCATTATAGTTATATATAAAATTGGAATGCATTGTGATATATTCATACATGCACATAGCATAATTTGGTCAACTTCATTCCCCAGTTCTCTCCTTTTCCCCCTCCTCCTCCCCGAATTAACATCTTAAAGCTTTTGTTAGTTTTGCAAGAGACTATGTTCTTGGGACCAAGACTTCTGTCAATTGGAAGGCAGTACAGGTAAAATCCAATTTCACCAAAGTTGAAAGGATGTTAAAACAATATTATACCCAACTTTTACAAAAGTGAAAAAAACTGTAATTAATATAAAATGAAGTTATGTTTTAAATTTACAAAGACAGTTGGATAAACTACTTTCAACAAACAGAGGTGATATTTTAGGCACTATATTGGTTAAGGTTATTGAATCAGTGAGTTATTACATCATTTGAACATGAGAATTAAAAAGTCCTGTTTGGTATCTTACTCATTTTGTAAAAAAACAATATTTGTTTGTGGCATCTGTGAACTAATAGACTTTTAGAACTGAAGGGAATCTTGAAAATCTAGTTCAGTCTCATTTTCTATAAGAAAATAGAGATTCTTGAGAGATTAAGTGAATCTTTAAGGTTGTAGTCTTTGTTAATATCAGAGGTAGCATCAGATTGTAGATCATTTATTCCTTCCTGTTCCTTATCATGTTAAGCTAGTGTGTTACCAGGAGCATGTTACACAGTACCTGGTGCATAGTATCTATTTAAATGACCTAGTAATTAGTTTTATTGAGCGTTTTCTTTGTGTAGGCATCATGAAAGGAACTTTGCATTCATTAGTTTAATCCAAAAATGTGGTATGCAGTTTTTGTTTATTGTTCTTTTACTCAGTTTTATGTAGTTGATAAATGCATTTATGTTTATTGTTTAGTTAAGCAGTTTTAACTTTCTGACTTTTTTAGTTTTATTAAGATTGAATCATATTGGGTCATTTCTAAAATTCAGTTACTTTGCGGAGGGTATTTATGAGTACATTTTTTAGCATGCCTGTAATCTCATGAGTGTAATAAATTAAGTTTCCTTAAAAAAAATAATTTCATTTTTGTTTTAGAGTTCAGATCATTCAGGATCAACAACTCCATCATCCAGTCAAGAAACTTTGTCGTTAGCTGCCGCGTCTTCCTCTGAAGGATTGAGGCAGCGTACCCTTCCACAAGCACAAACTGACCCAGCACAGTTTCCATATGTAATGCAAGGGTAAGTGAAATTAGGGTGCTTGGATCATACTTTTGAGTAGGTAGGCGCCTAGGAAACTTTTTTTTTTTTCCTTCATTCAGTTTCACTATTGAGTTACTCAATTTACTCTTCTGGAGAGTAGGTGGGTGAGGGAGGGTATACTTGTGAGAGTAGGAATTGCAATCTGTTTTTAAAAAGCTCTACTCAGATCCTCCAGACTTAGGAACAACTGAGATAGAGTAAAAAACCACCCTGGCTTACAAAGATACATGACCCTTCTATATTATCTAGAATCACTGAATTGAGTGTTCTATAGAGGAGGCTTTTAAAGAAGCTTACTATGCCTACCTTATGTTTAACAACTATAACAGGCCTCTTTAGTTTGGCAATTTTGTAGGAAATACAGCTTACAGCCACGGGGTAAAAGCACATTTTTTCAGAAATCAGAGATAGGATCTTAGAAAATATAGTTTGGACCTCAGTTGTTGTGTGAAGGTAGATGCTTTATTGGGATACTTTCATTTATTTGTATTTTGAAGTAAAGGAAATGTAAGTAACAGGTAGTGATGATTGCTTTGCATTGTACATGAAACTCTGGGGCTATAGTGTGTGGCACTGTTCCAGGTATATGTTGGTGAGCTAGAAATGGCTAGGACCCAGAATGGTAGAGGAGGTGATGTAACCGAGGACTGCTATACTAAATAGAATAGCATGAACATTCAGGTTCACACATTTTACTTAGAACTTTTATCTTAGTTAATTTTTTAATATAGAAGAATAAAACTGAATTTATAGCAAAATATAAGAAGCCTCATTTGTCTCTTATTTCTTTAGTATAAAGACTTTCGTGTCAAAGTAAGCATTTAAAGATGAAGCTGGTTATAGACTTTTATAAGGCCCTATGAAAATAATTTTATTTTTAGAATATGATAAGTATAAGCCAAAACTTAGTTATTTGTAACAGGCAGAGTTCTTAGAATTTTCATTGTGGAACAGTAGCTTATAATACTTTGTGTCTTATGACAGTGATTCATTTCCTTTCTTTTTGTCAGAGTAAGACAGTACAGTGCCTCTTATACAGATGATTTTACTTATTTTATTTAGTATAATGGCGGAAGGTGGGATTTTTAAAAATAAGCTTAGAAGAATATAATACGATATATTAATAGTGGTTATCTCTGGATGATTTTAAACTTTTCCATACTTATTTATTTTGTAATAAACAAAATAAAGCTTGTAAGATAGCAGGTCTTCAGAATAAGAGATATCAGTAAAAGATTAGTAATTTTTCTAAACTAGGTTATAGAGGAAATCAGTCAACAAGAGAGAAAAAGAATTAGCTATATTGGCACCAAAATAGACATGTAGACCAATGATACAGAATAGAAGACACAGAAACAAACTACAAAAATACGATTATCTCTTACTAGACAAAGGTACCCAAAACATACATTGGAGAAATGATAGCCTATTCAACAGATGGTTCTGGGAAAACTAGAAATCTATATACAGAAAAATGAATTTAAATCTGTATCTCTCATCCTACACAACAATCAACTCAAAGTGGATTATAGACTTAGGTACTAGAATAGAGACCTTGCACCTAATAGAAGAAAACGTAGGACCAAATGTCCACCACGTTGGCTTATGAACTTCCTTAACCAGCCTCCTAAAGTGCAAGAAGTAAAATCAATAAATCAGATAGACTCAAACTAAAAAAGCTTCTTCTCAGCAAAGGAAACAATAATGTGAAGAGAGAGCCTACAGAATGGGAGAAAATCTTTACCACATGTACCTCAGATAGAGCATTCATCTCCAGGATATATAAAGAACTCAAAAAAAAAAAAAAAAAAAAAACCCAAATAACCCAATCAATAAATGCGCTAAGGAACTGAATAGACACCTCACAGAAGAAGAAATACAGTCAATCAACAAACATGAAAAAATGTTCATCATCTCTAGTGATTAGAGAAATGCAAATCAAAAATAAGATTTCATTTCACTTAAGTCAGAATGGCAATTATCAAGAATATAAGCATGATAAATATTGATAAGAATATGGGAAAAAGGTACACTCATACATTGCTGGTGGGACTGCCAATTGGTGCAATCACTATGGAAACCAGGATGGAGATTCCTCAGAAGACTTGGAATGGAACCACCATTTTACTCAGCTATCCCACTCCTTGGTTTATACCCAAAAGACTCAAAATTAACACAGTACAGTGATGCAGCCACATCAATGTTTAAAGCAGCTCAATTCATAATAGCTAAGCTATGGAACCTACCTAAATACCCTTAAAAAGATGAATGGATAAAGAAAATGTGGTACATATACACAATGGAATATTACTCAGCCTTAAAAAGAAGGACTTTATGACATTTGCCCATGAGTAGATGGAGCTAGAGAATATCATGCTAAGTGAAATAAGCCAAACCCAAAAGAACAGAGGCTGAATGTTTTCTCTGATAAGTAGATGCTGATCCATAATGGGGGGCAAGGCAGGGAGAATGTACAATGATTGTGCAGAGGGAAGTGAGGGGAAGGGAAGGGGTATGGGGATGGGAAAGCCAGTGGAAGGAGATGGACATTATTACCCTATATACATGTACTACTGGTGTGATTGCACCATGTTCAGCAGGAGGAAGGAGAAGTTGTGCTCCATTTGTGTACAATATGTCAAAATGCATTCTACTATTATGTATAACTAATTAAGACAAATTAAAAAATTTTAAAAAGCCAGCCAATTAAGGTATTATTACTATTTTTTAGCTTTTAATGAAATTTATTTTTATTTTTCAAATTTCTTTTTAGCTATACATGTCAGCAGAGTGGTTTTTTGTTGTTGTTTTTTGGGGTTTTTTGGTAGTACCAGGAATTGAACTCAGGGGCACTGGACCACTGAGCCACATCCCCAGCCCTGTTTTGTATTTTATTTAGATACAGGGGCTCACTGAGTTGCTTAGTGCCCTACTGTTGCTGAGGTTGGCTTTGAACTATGATCCTCCTGCCTCAGCCTCCCAAGCCGCTGGGATTATAGGTATGCAACCCAGAGCCCAGCTAGTAGAGTGTATTTTGACATATTATACATGTGTAGAGTCTAAGTTATCGTAATTAGGATCCCATTCTTGTGGTTGTACACAATGTGGAATTTCAGTGATTGCATATACATATATGAACATAGGAAAGTTATGTCAAATTCATTCTACTGTCATTCCTAATCCCATCCTCCTTCCATTCCTTTCATTTTCCTTTGTCTAATCTAGTGAACTTCTGTTCCTCACCCCCACCTTCCATTGTATGTTAGCATCCACATATCAGAACATTTGGCCTTTTCATTTTTTGGGACTGGCTTATTTCACTTAGCGGGATAGCCTCCAGTTCTGTCCATTTACTGGCAAATGTGACAATTTCTTCTTCTTTATGGCTGAGTAATATTTCATTGTGTGTATATACCACATTTACTCTATTCATTTATCTGTTAAAGGGCACCTAGCTTTGCTGTTGTGAATTGAGCTGCTATAAACATTGATGTGGCTGTGTCACTGTAGTATGCTGATTTAAGTCATTTGAATATATACATCAAGGAGTGGGATAACTGGTTCAAATGATGATTCCATTACAGATATTCTGAGGAATCTCCATATTGCTTTCCAGAATGGTTACACCAATTTGCAGTCCCACCAGCAATGTATGAATGTACCTTTTCCCCTACATCCTCACCAACATTTATTGTTACTTGTATTATTGATAATTGCCACTCTGACCAGAGTGAGATGGAATCTAAGTCTAGTTTTAATTTATATTTTTGTAATTGCTAGAGATGTTGAACATTTTTTTGTATGTTAACTATTAAATAAACCTTAAATTATATAATTGATCTTAAATTGTAATACAGAGCTATAGTAACAAAAATGGCATGGCATTGCATAAAAACAGACATGAAGACCAGTGGAACAGAATAGAAGACTCAGAGACAAACCCACATATATACAATTATCTCATACTGGACAAAGTGCCATAAGCATACATTGGAGAAAACATAATCTCTTTAACAAATGGTACTGGAAATCCATATGTAGTAGATTGAAATTTAACCCCTATCTCTCACCCTGTACAAAACTAAAAGTGGCTCAGGGACCTAGGCACTAGACCAGAGGCTCTTCACCTACTAGAAGAAAATGTAGACCCAATTATCCATCCAGTCAGCCAAGGAACCAAATTCCTCACAAGACTCCTGACGTGCAAAAAGTCAAATCAAGAATTGATAAATGGGATGGTTATCAAACTAAAAAGCTTCATAGCAAAGGAAACAAGAACATGAAGGGAGAGCCTACAGAAAGGGAGAAAATCTTTGCTACCTGCACCTTATATGGATTATTAATCTCCAGGATATATGGATCATTAATCTCCAGGATATACAGAGAACTCAAAAAACATACCATCAAAAAAACCCAAATAACCCAATCAATAAATGGGCAAAGGAACTGAACAGGTACTTCACAGAGGAAGAAATTGAATGATCATAAAAGTATTATTAAATGGATTAGAAAAATCTGAAATAGTATTTATTTTGCCAGAAGTGAGGGGGGAAATAGTAACAAAACTGTTCACTTAGGGAATCTATATGAGCTTCACTTAGGGAGTCTATTGCTAGATAATACGGATATTTAGTCAGCAGGGCAGTATAGTTTAATGTTTACACAGATGCTGAAGCCAGCCTGCTTGGGTTTAAATCCAGAATTTATTCATTCACTACTTAAGCAAGTCTCTTCCCTACTATGCTTTATTTAGTTTGTTCATTACTTGGAGGGCAATAGTACTTATTGGATTTCTATATGGATTAAAAGAATTTGTGGATGTCAAGTGGTTAGAACAGTAATAATAGGTGCATAGTGATGTGCCGCAGTCTGGCTGGGCACAATTCAGGAGCCACTTGTCAAAAGAAACTAACTTTATTTTTAGAACTACAAACGCTAAGCAAAACAGCTCCTCAGGAAAAAAAACCCTCAGAGCCCAA